CCGCCCGCCCGCAGCCTCCCCCGGGCCCCCCCAGCCCTCCGCTCCGCTCCGCTCCGCTCCGCCGGGCGCACGCTCGGGTCCGTGCCAGGCATGGCCAGGGCGAGGCGAAATCCTCTTCCCAGGCTGAAAGTCTCCCAGAGATCATCCCTGAAAAGCAGAGCTCCCCTGCGCTTAGCCTGAGCCCCCAGAGCCGGGTCGGGAAAGGCCATCCACGCGGAGCCATGAGAAATAAGGAAATAAAACGATACCCAAAGAGAGGCGGGCGGGCGGGGAGGGAGGGAAGAAGACATCTGCAAAGGGAGAACTGTTTTTTCTTCCCTTGCAACAAACTCTGCCATCAGGCAAAGTATCTGCTCCCCCCACCCTCCGCAGGTAGACCTTGCAGTTGATCCAGGGGGAGAAAAATAAACCATGAAGCGCTTTTTTCTGAAAATAAGTGGTATAAGATATATACCGCTAATTCCTTTCACTTTTATTTTTCCTGTAGTTTGTTGCTCAGAGTGAATCTGAAACATACTATAAAGAGGGAGTTAAGAGTTCAACCCTGGACTGTCTCCTAAAAAAGTTCATATATTTTTTCACAGCAATTGTTGCTTCTTTTTCCAAAGAAAAAGCTGGCATGAATCAGTGATGATGTCCCTACCGATAAAGCCAACCGCAGTAGAACTTTTGCTGGAAAAAAAACTTCATAGATGAATTTTGGAACGAGCCAATGAACAATTCAGTCATTTTTGGAAGGCTTCCTTTTTAGCTTGACCAGATTAAGGCAACGAGCTAAAGACCTATGCACCTATGTAGACTATCAGTCTTCCCACTTCGCAAGTCACAGCCATGCTACAAAGCCAACTCTTGTGTGTGTCCTAGTGAAAATGTAAACCATTGCTCTCTTCTAATGAACACTATTCAAAATGCTGAGCCCAGGAGAGATGGGCAGAGCACGTACAATATTCACATTGCTGGTGGCTCTTGCATGATGCTCCATTTACTTTAGCTGAAACCAGGCTTTGATCTCAGGCACGGGCTTCATAGGTGCAATATATGTCGTCTGTGTTTCAGGGGTGTATTTGGTTAGCCGTGTTGGTCTGAGACAAAAGGAAATGCAAAACTCCAGAACTCTTGGTTCAGAGATGATACCTTTTATTAGATCGACTAAGAAATCACAATATCTATCTATCTATCTATCTATCTCTTTTTTTGTTGTTACGATTTATTAGACCAACTAAGAAATCACATCATCTCTGAACCAAGAGTTCTGCATTTCATAGATACTGTCCTGAAGAAATGTATGTGGTTTTCCACAACCCTGGGGAGGATGCAGCAGCACGAGTTTCAGCAGAGTCTATCAACAACACGATGTTCCTGGGGTCCCCAGTGGGCTTGTCCCACAAGAGCAAGTGCATGCACAACAAAGCCCAGACTGTTTCATGTGCACTGCTGTTGTTACCTGTACTAGCTAGAAAAAAAAGCTAGCTCCGGTATATGTTGGTACATGCTACGCCTTCGTTCTGCTGTGCAGACTTACCTGCTTGCATGAGTTCTTCGTTGGAAATGGGAGTAGTTGTTGCTTCACATGAGTGCAGCGGGGATAGGTCTGAGATAGAGAGTGATGTGTTCAGAGATTTTGATGACAGGTAAGTGTGTAGGGCAGGAACTTCCATTTATGCTGCAATCACTAAGGAGGCAACTTTACACAAATAGTAATAGAAGCGCTCATCATTATAGTATCGAAGCATATCAACCATTAGCAGAATTTATCTTCCCAGCACTGTTAAATTCCCAGGAAAGTGCTTTCCTTAATTTTTGTGGCTAGAGAACTGAGGGACAAGGGTGAGTGAACTGATCACAGAGGAAGCTTGCAGCTGGCATGGGAACTGCACTAGCATCTCTTGAACTTGCATCTCTGGAGGATTAGACTCATGCCCTGCCCACGTCATGACGTCTCCTAGATGTAGGAGTAGGTACAGCCCCGTTCCCTGGAAATGCTCCACAAAGATCAGTTCTTCCGTGTCTGGGGTGCAAGCATGGTGGCTGTGTTTAGGAGAGGAGCTGAAGCACCCCCCCGCCCAATCCTGTTGGAAAGTGTAGGGCGAAAGGAAGTAGGTAATGTAATATTATCCAAGGATGACTTCTGTTTGGTACACCCGATAAAATCCTATACCACGCTGCCCTGGTAGAAAATGAAAGGGAATCTTAACCATCACCTGTGGTTAGCACTTCAGCTTTATGCCTTAGCGTCAAAGTGGTACTTCCAGGAACACAAAGCTCTTTATACCATCATGTTGGGGAACTGGTTGCAGTTTTGACGCAGAAGGATGAACACCCTGACCTGAGTCATCAACACAACTTCCTGCAATGGGCTTTCCCTCAGCACTGCCTTCAAACTACCAATCAGACTGGAACTTCTTGTAAATGGATAATGCTACTATCTGTGCTTTGCTCCAAATCCATACTCTTGACAGGCAGCCATTGGCTGCACATGTGGAGATGTCTCGGTAGCAAAGCAAAGGTGTGATTGTAGCCTGGGTAGGCATCCATGGGTGTACATATCCAGGATCCATAGTAAGCTGGTGGTCTGGTTGCTAACCCAGGTTGCTTCATGTTTACTACCGCTGTTACGCAGACTAGGAAGATCTATGCTAGCGCTGCTGTGCCTACCTGTGATACGATCACATTGTCATTTTGCTTCGTAAACCTACTCTGCAGGACTGGTTCTTATTTGCTATTTTGATCTCTTTCCCCAGGGTGAAGTGATGGTTGATTCTTCTTCAGGCCCGGTACCAGCAGTTAACATGCCACTGCAGTCGCAGCCCAGATGTGTGACCTCGCTGCAGCCCATCACGGAGGGAGAAATCTTCAAGTTGCCAGGCAGGCTCAGTGAGTAGATGGTGCAACGCTGACAGCCTTGCACATTTTCTTGTACTTAGGTGGTACTTTATACCTCTTCAAAGCATTGTGCATACGCTTCTTCCTTGGATTTCTTGGGTATATTTTTAACAAACCACTTCTTGTCCTTGCCCTGGCAGGACACTGACAGTGCCCTCGTCCCACGGCTTTACCTTGGGCAAGCTGAAGTGTGTTGATGTTTAGGGCGTTATGCCTGGAAGGTGTGCACGAGGGTTGTTTGTGCGATTCTGAGAACATGTTGGACTAACGCTTGCTTAGGATGGTTTAGACAGGAATGATCCTACCTGGAGCAGGACGCTGGAGTAGATGTGACCTCCTGAGGTTGCTTCCAGCCTTACTTTTGTACGATTCTAACAGACAACCACATCTTGGTGCGCACTGTTCAGTGCTGTACTGTAGACCTCTACCACTTGCACTAAAGGAGTAATTCCAGCAACAGATAATAGTACTAGGCTGTTCCCCATTAGCTGACTAGTCCACAGGAGGGGGAACGATCCACGTTATCCTTGCATGCGTTGCACAAACATTAATGGGCTGATTAATTTTCTCAGCACAGCTTAGAAATGGGTCAGTACTGATCGATACCGTATTTTCATTTTACTGATTAGAAAAGCAACTTTCTCAAGGCTACAGAAGGCATCAGTTTAACATCTAAGGTTAATGCGCAGGGGTTTCTGAGTTTGTTTTAGGAGCTCTTTCAATTGAAGCATTTCTTTGCTCGAAGGCTTTTTGGTATCTTGGTTTTGAAGTCACGTCCCAGGAAATTTCTAACTGCATAGAGGAGAAGCAGTCTGCTCCAGCTGATTAGGAGACAGGACTGCTCCTGGCACTAACTAGCAGTTTGCTCCTAGAGCAAAGCGCTTCACTTCTTTTTAGTCAGTAGGTTTGATGGCTACCAATTTAGCCAAGATTGGGGCTTGAATCAGGGCTTTTAGAACAGAATTTATGAACCCGAGCTCTCATCCTGTGTCTGCTGGGCCCAGATGGGAGCACAGATATAGCTATATGATGATGCAAAAGAAGGTGGTGGCACTGCTGCACATGTTAACACAAATATCCATGGGTTAAAAAAACACAACCCTTGGAGTTTATATAGAGACTTTTAAGCCTTAGCTTGTGATAGTATATTAATTAGCCAGAAAAAGGATGATACATTTGACAGCTGGTTCAATTTGTGCATTATTTCATGTTTTACAAGAAAAATAATGTCATTTAATATGGAGTTAATGCTACTGACAGATGCTTTAGATTTTTTTTTAACCCATGCACTGCTGAGAATATATTCTAGACAAGTGCATGTGCCAGTGCTTGTCGCAGGTTGTGACTCAGGACCCCTGGACTCTCATTCTGTTTCTGGGGAAGATTGTGGTCTAGTGGTTGTACTGGGAAACAATGAGTCAGGAGTCACTGGGTTTATTCTTAACTGTGGGAGGGAGTGTAGTCTGGTGATGAGAATCAGGGTCTAGTTAGGGGTCCTCTGCTGTTTTCCCAGATCCGTCTTTGATTTGTCTGTAGCCTTGGACAAATCATTTCACGTCCCCACCTTTACACGTGGCTGATCCCCCTTGCTTGCCTCACAGGAGTGTGAAGATTCAGCGATGGCTGTCTGAGGCTTTGGGATTAGTTAGTGCTGATTATGACTGATGGCTGGGATTTTCAAACGGGTGTAAAAGAATTAGGCATGCAGCTCCCATTGAGACCGGGCACCTCATTTCCTTAGACTGCATGGGCAATCCCAGCCAGAGGTATGAGAACAAGCCACTGGACGATACCACAGACCAGTATTTCTTCTGTTTATTGTCTCATTGCCCTTTGACTCTTTTTAATGATCAGTCTGCTCTTTTAGAAGGGAAATGTGCGTGATGGAGAAGGCTGGTGTCTCCTCTTGTCCCTCTTTATTTCAAAGACTGTTCTCTGCTGGTTTCAGGAATCCAGCCCTCGCTCTGGAGCAAAGATGATGTGATCCATTGGTTAAGATGGGCCGAGAAAGAATATTCCCTCCGGCCAACAGATGAAAGCAAGTTTGAAATGAATGGAAAAGCCCTCTGCATTCTCACCAAGGATGATTTCAGATACAGGGCTCCTAGCTCAGGTTAGAGGAAGCGAAAGAGAGATTTAATAGCCTGGCTCCCCTGTGCTGTGCCGTGTGTCCAGTGGGCTGTGATTCAAGGGGCTCTGTCAGGGATTTGCTGAATGACCCAGGTCAATCACTTCCCCTCCCACCTGTCCTAGTAAGAGTACTGTTTGGCTGATATTATATGACTGCATCTACACTAATGGTTTCTGCCAGCATGACTGTGCGTCTTTCCAAGAGCTGTACCGGCGGAAGTCTGCAAAGTAGACATGGACTAAAAGAGCAAGACAGGTGAGGGCAGAATAATTATCACCTCCCTTATGCATGGAGCCAATGTAGACTCTTTGGAGCAGTGATAACCTCTGGGCCCATGCAATCTAGCATTATTCAGTCTCATTTGGAGCATCCTGATTCTAGAGAAAGACGGATAATAGTATCAGAAAGCATCAAGATCCTGCCACAGGGAGAAGGGGTGATGGTGCTGGGAGCATTCCCATGGCTCCCTTCTCAACTCAGCGTCCATTCAAGCCAGGCAGGATTGTAGAAATCACCAAACTAGATCAGGCACACAGTGCGTTCACTCAGTCTCCTGCCTAGGGCAGCATCCGGCACTACTGCTTCTGGGGGAAGGAGTCAGATTTCTGCAGTGGGGAGTTATGGGATAACCTGCCTGCAGACGGAGGTCTATCCTAACCCCGGTCAACTTAAATGACCAGCTGTCCCAGGTCTTGTGGCCTTGTGTCTCAGCATTCCTTTGAAAAGGCAGCTTTGTCTTCAGTTTGAAGAATTGGTCCCAGATCAGCTCCAGCCTATAATACCACCTCCAAACCAGAGCTGTGTCTGCATTTATTAGCTCTGCCTCCTGGCACAGCTGATTTTCTTGGATACAATGCCACACTAAAACAGCTGTGTGAAGTACAACTATAAGTGGTGCAGATAACTTCTGGTTCTGGAGGTCTACGAAGTGTCTAGGGACATGTTCTGGATTTGCTTCCACAAGGTTGGTTTTTTGGTTTAGTTCACGCCCCAATGCAAGAGGGCTTCCCATCCAATATGCATCTGTATGAGTGTCCACTCCTGTTCTGGATCTCAGCCCACGCTCTATTATACACATAACCATATTTCCCTGCAGTTTCAATCAGGTTCAACAAGCCTCTTCATTTCCAGGGCTAAAGGAATATTGGAAAGTGGACACACACTCTTAGAAACAACCATTGTGTTCCACCCCAGAGGTGGTTGCAATTTCACTGGTGTGATTTGTGCTTGGATTTGTTAAGGGTTTGAAGTTCGTTGGGGTGCAAGGTGCTGGGCATGAAATAAATAGATCAATGGGGGAGATAAGCTGGGATTATGTTGCAGCAAATGGAAAAACCTCCTTCATTTGAAAGGTGTAGCTCCTTTCTTATTGTTCACCTTACAATAGCACCTCATAGCTGGCACCAAAGATGAGCAACATTTTGCTTGGTCCCTGAATCTGCATGTAGTAAGGGGTCAGCTACCAGGTTATCCTCTTCGATTGGGGCTCTTTCACAGAAGTCCTGCTTCTAAACTAGGGTTGGGCAGCAGTTCCCCCATGGTTTGGGATAACACAAACAGGCTGAAGGCCTGTTGTCAGCTTCCCTTGGGTAGTCCATTGAGTGGGTCTCCTCTTTCCTTGGGCTGTGGTGACCGAGAACATGGCCAGACCTCAGTCCAGGGGTGCTCATTTTCTTTCTCCCCGCACAGGTGACGTTTTATACGAATTACTCCAGTACATCAAAATCCAGCGGCGAGCCCTTGTGTGCAGCCCATTGTTTAATTCACCCTTTAGGGATGCAACACACATGGAGATGCACAGCACTGTGGGAGGTATGATGCCCATTTATAAGCATTGAATGGGTGGGTGAGGTTTGGAAACCAACCCAGGAGACGTCTCACTGGCATATTTATGTTTAAGGTGGTCATGCCTCATGTTCTGGGCACCAGACTTAGATACTTGGGGACAGCCTCAGGCTCTCTTCCCTCCCTGGTCTGCACTGCTGATCTGACGCTCCTTTCCCTCTCTCACCCATCCATGTGTCCTCTCCCAGTTAGTAGCTCCTTAATGTCCCTCATTGCTCCTACAGTTTCCTCTGCTGTTCCATCCCAAAGAGTTTCCCTTCCCTGGGAAAACCCAGCGGTCTCGATCCTCTACTCACTCCCACTAGAATCAGTGCAGTTATGCTGGCATCAGTGACAAGAGGATCAAGTGCGTTCATCATCTTCCAACACTGGATATAGCAGGGGTGGGCAAAATGTGGCCCGGGGGCCAGATGCAGCCTGCCAGGCCATTCTATCTGGCCTGCAGGGCCCCTAAAACATTTAGAAAATTAATATTTATCTGCCTCTGGCTGCCTGTCATGCAGCCCTTGATGGCTTGGTAAAACTCAGTAAGTGGCCCTCTGCCTGAAATAATTGCCGCCCCTGGGATATAGGTTTTACCCAATAAACTCATCCTGGTTTGTCTGTTCTCTGTCTGTTGCTTAAACATGGCTAAAAAATGTAGAGGGCCTTTTTTGGAAATAACGTTGCCTTGGGCTTCCTTGCAGGTATGAACTGCAGGTTAGAAGTCTCCCCAGGAAGGGTCTCTTCATTGCTAACGACATGTCCAAGCCACAGAGAACAGCCCAGGTCTCCCAGAAAGGCCTTCTTCAGAGAGGAGCCACTTAATCTCTCTCATCACGGCTCAGAAGTCAGCTGTAGGCCAGAGGTCATCTGTTGTTTTCCTGCTCCCCAACCAGCCCCAGTTGATGGTAAAATTGCAGGTGAGCATGAAGCCCTGTGGTGTGGAAAGCAGCTCTGCCTGAGAAATAAAACTCCTGTGGGGGTGGAGGTAAACATGGGGGTACCGGCTAGAGATGTCAGTGGAAACTTGACATCTGTTCACTGAAAACCTTGGTGAGTCTGGTTCTACATCCACCTTTCAAAGTCTGCCGTGCATGGAGGGCAGCCGTGGGGGACTTTCTTGAAGACTCCACCGTATTTCCCCAACACAGAGATGGGTCCTCTTAGGACTCGTTGCCCCCAAAGCACTGCATTTTCAATAGAAAAGAACTTTTATTTTACACCAAGGAAAGCAACAAGGAAGACCCAAAGTAAGATCTCTGGGAGAGAGCACAATGCATATGTCTATGATATGTAGCATTGCTCTGCAGAGGGAAATGGCAGCTGTCTGAACTTCTGGGGGTCACAGTTGACCCCTGGACCTCTGATTTTGAAAGCATCAGCCTCTACTATGTGAGCTAAAGTCTGGTTCTGCTGGCCATGTTGGCAAGCTCATCAGCCTCTTCCCAGATCAGGACAGAGCACTCTGTTGAGCAGCCGTGGGTTATACACTCCCTTTGGCCAAGCATACATGTTTCAGGCTTCAAAAGTTCAGTGTGGGTGCCTCCGGGCCTTAGTTTCCCCATTGCAAGTTAGGGATATAGATACTGACACCCTTTCTAAAGCACACTGAGATCTACTGATTTAATGATAAGAGGTCGGTATTATTGTTATTAATACACACCGCCTGCTGCTTGGCTCTGGTTTGTGGGGACACTTTCTGACGAAAGCTGAACGCCTTCTTCTGCGTTCCTGTGCAGACTGCAGGTTACTCTGGGACTATGTCTATCAGCTGCTGTCTGACAGCCGGTACGAACCATACATCAAATGGGAAGATAAGGAAGCCAAGGTCTTTCGGGTTGTCGATCCTAATGGACTTGCCAAGCTCTGGGGGAACCATAAGGTATGTTTGTGTCAGTATGGCTCCGTCATCCCTTAACTCGTGGGAGCCCACGTTCTTAACTCAATGCTGTCTTTATGGTGTATTCTGTGACCAGCTTTGAACTGAAATAAATGGGTGTTGAAGGGATTCAGCCCCTGGTGAAATCAGTCCGTAAATTCTTCCTTACTAAAAGGAAGGCTGAGAGGATTCGGAAAGTATGCCTATATTAAAGAGAGCCCCAAAATAACGGGGCCAGTGCAGACTTTGCAGCAGTACCAAATAGAAACTACTGCACTTTAACCTCTCTAGGCCAGGGATTGTCTTTTTCTCCTGTGTTCACAGTCCCAGGCTTGGTCTGTGGCTAGGGCTCCCAGGTACTAGAATGATGATGATGATGATGAAGAACAGTGCTAAGTCTACCCATGTCTTGGTGGACTGTAAAGCTTTCCTTAAAAACTGTCCCACAAAAATTGTTTCTCAAGCTCTGAGCATTCACAAGGACTTGTTAACTGCATGTGCCTCCACGTTTTTGATGCAAGTTGGGTTATGTTATGTTGTACATCATCCTTCTCTTTGGTTTAACTGGTAAGCCTGGCTTCTGACTGGCTGGTTTCATTGGCACTCTCCTGTTCAGGACACCCAGTATCTCTGCATGATACTGTTTAAAGGTTCACGTCATAGCTCAAGACCAACTTGACTAAGCATGCTTTAAGAAGGCCTTTGTCTTTTATCTTCGCAGAACCGCATGAACATGACATACGAAAAAATGTCGAGAGCCTTAAGGCATTATTACAAACTCAACATCATCAAAAAGGAACCAGGCCAAAAGCTGTTATTTAGGTGAGAGAGCTCAGGTGGCACAAATGACCTCACAAGGAGATTTGGCCAGGACAGAGGAAAGTTAGTATCAGCTTCCAGACGTTCTGCACCTTGTCTTGAGCTTCATCTCATTGCTTCTGAAGCCTCCTCAGATGTGCAGAATAAAATGATGGTCTTGGTTATACTGTCTTGTATCTGAATTAGCTCTGCTGGAGTAGATGGAATTGGGCTGGATTTATACTGTTGCAGCTGAGATCCAGTAGTGTAAGTAGGGGTGGGCAAACGAGGACTTAGAGGGGACACAGGCTGATGGCTGTTGCTGCCATTGAACTTAGGGTACAAAAACAGAGGCTTAGACTGATCTCTACTGAGATCAGAACCCGGTTCGCAGGCCTGACTTCAGGTCTTATGCCCATCTGAATCCCAGTGAAGTCCAATGCATGTATCTGAAAGCAGAAGTCAGTAGTCAGAATGGGGTTGGGTTTTGCGAAGCCAACATGATGGCAGTTGTTTTATTGATCTGTTTTCCTGCAAAGACAAAACCTGGGCTGGGTTCAATTGAGGGTGTGTTTTGCACAAATTGCACAAGCCTCCAGGTTTGGATAAGTGGTTCAGGTTTTGATCCCTATGGAGCCCAATCCCACGGGCTCAGCCCTGCAAAGAGCTACCAGCCCTTTGAAACAACAAAAGCAATGCGCCCCATGCAGATACAAGCAAGGTGTAAAGCAGGGGTGAGCAATTATTTCGGGCGGAGGGTTGCATACTGAGTTTTGGCAAGCCATCGAGGGCTGCGTGACAGGCATCTGGGGGCAGATAAATAGTAATTTTCTAAATATTTTAGGGGCCCCGCGGGTTGGACAGAATGGCCTGGCGGGGGACATCTGGCCCGCGGGCCGCATTTTGCCCACCTGTGGTGAAAAGGGTTGAGTATCTTCTGGGAGGAGCTCAACTTTGTACAGCTTCTTCCAAAACCCACTGAAATCAATGGAAAGACTGCATTGGGCGTTGGGACAGGTCCCTACCTGGCCTCACTCATTCTGAGGCACCTTCTTTTTTTTTTTTAATTCCAGATTTTTGAAAACACCTGGGGAGATAATACACGAGAAATCCAGCAAGCTGGAACAGCTGGAAAGCGAGGAACAGGAGGGACTGGATTTCAAGGAGGATGCGGTGGAGGTATCGCCCTAAGGACTCTATTGCACTGTGTCTACAATGTGGAAACACGCAGCATCAGAGAGATGCTGTGAGTCACTGTGAAGAACCTGGGATGTCCTGCTGTCTCAGGAAGAAGAGACTGCCTTTCTCTCACTGGGTTGCAGTTAAAGGCTTCAAACATTTTCTATTCAAAGACTAAAACGTGGAAGTTTGGCAGCAAGAGTTTATTCACAGAAACTTGTGCAGGCCGTTGAGACTGAGATGAATCTGTGGGCTGGCTTTTTGCTTGCTAACGTTTTCCCACGGGTTATTTTGTGTATTTGTCTGTTTTTTAAAACGATCACATTTGGTACTTTATGGCCGAGGCTCTGTTGTTGAGTTTCAAGATGGCTGGTGACCGTGACCCTAATTCAGGACAGCACGGCTCTTAAGCATCTGCTTAACTCTACTCTTTGCTTAACTTGAAGCGTAACTCTTCTGTACCTTGCTAAATCAGTCACAGCTTATGTGAAGATTTTTGTGTGGTTTCAGGGCAGAGGGGTTCTTTTAGCTGAATATTTCCAATTAATTTCACTGTGTATAGAGCAATAATAATACTGGTTATGCTTAGCGGACTATGAAGGCATGTGACAAAAACAAAATACCAAAGTGAGTTGTGATAGAAATAGTGAAAGACTCCAGGTCTTCCAGTTATTTACACAGGGGATAACAAGACGAGTCCCCTGCCTCGCAAGACCAAATGATTGATTAACGTCCCCAGCTGATGTAAACTCTGCTCAGGTCAATTAAGCTATACTGACTCATACCAGCAGAGGCTCTGGCCAGAAGAAACCTTCCTCTTGGGGTTTGAGTACCAAGATACAACATTCCCAAAGGGCTGAATTCACACTAAATGACCAGTGGAAATAACCGGCCTTATTCTCCTTTCATGCAATTCAGCCCCGTGCAGAGGATTGAAAGCTTAGTGGGTGCATATGCTGGCTCTCTTCCACTGCTGTAAATTGTGGATAGCTGAGGTTTCACCGAAGCAAGTGAGGGAAGAGTCAGGTTCATTAACCACAGGGGATTCAGAGCTGAGTGATCCGACTCCATTGTCCAAGGTAAGCGAAATGCAACTAAACTACACAGCAGCAGAGGTCAGTTTAGGTTTTTGCAAGTTCATTTTTTCGTTAAATAATCTCAGGCGTTGTTCAGAAAATAATCTAGCAAATGCACGTGCGGGTTTTAAAATCTGACAATATCCCATTTTTGCCTAACAACATTTTCAGATCCCCTGCAGTAGTTCTGACTTGCTATGAAGCAGTTTCTAAGGTGTCACCCTGCCCTGCCTTCTTCCAGCTTACTCATCCTGCTTGCTTCAAGGTCATTAGGATTTCAGTGGGAACAAGATTATGCCTAAATAACATATTCTAGAGGCTATTCTCATTTTAGGAGAGGAAACCTTGTCTACTAGTTAAAGCAAAGAAGTGCAAAGTCAGGAGGTGTGCGTGCACAATTGCTCTACTGTGAGGGAGATGGATTACAACCACTGTGTGGCTTCATGTATAACCCACCACAGAGCCTGCCTGTTCTTTAGTATTGCCCCTCTAGTCTTTGCTAGTGTGTGTGGAGGACCAGGACTGTATGACCACTCCCCAATTGCCAGTTCTGTGCCTTTGAGCAAGTCACTACCACTGAGCCTCAGCTTTTTCACGTGTGAATTGGACACAGTGGGCGCGTCTACATGTTCATTAATGTGAAGTAACTACTGCGCATTAAATTTAGTACTTGCAAAAGGAAATACAAAAATGTGCAGTAGGCTGTCCTACTCGCATTAGTGCAATTGCATGCTTTTTTGTGACGGTTAATGCACAGTAGACTAATACTACTGCACATAGCCTAATAGCATGGTTTTTGCCTGATGCCGTAATGCTTAGTTAATCAGCCTACTGCGTATTAAGCGTCTCTTGTAGACACACCCAGAACCATCTTTCTACAGGGGTATAATGAAGGTCCTGCAAACATTAGGCCTAAGAATAGCTATGCCTATAAGCCAGTGATTCTCATCCAGGGTTTGGCAATACCTTGGGTTGCACTGGGATCCTTTCAAGGGTGAAATGTTAGCACTGTTAGGTGTGCAAACATGTTTCACAAGACAAACCCAGGGATTTCAAATAGGAATACATGGTGTTCAGTGATCGTAAGGCCGGAAGGGACCTTGGAAGATCATCGGGTCCAGCCCCCTGCACCAAGCAGGAAAACATGTTAATGTTAAAAACGTCCTGACCTGTTGTGGTCTTTCTGAGTTCTTTGCACCAGAAAAGTTAGTTTCTTTAGTATTTATTTCTGTAATCAAAAATGGAGTGAAAACTAAGCTGGCACTTTTCAAGGGGCACCCTGAATTTACTGAGGAGCGCCTTGAGTCTAACAACATTGAGGACCACTGCTATAAATGCTCCCAGTTACTTCAAAGTGCCAGCAAGCTATTTTGGTTGATTTAGCTGAGGATCCGACCCATTGCTTGGAAAGTTATTTGTGTGCATAAATGCTCTCAGGATTGGGGCCTACCCCATTAGCAGTCAAATGCATGCATGCTCAAATTTCCAGTGCTAAATTTAGGCACACTTACCACCAAAGACTGTCCTTCTTATAGCTCCAAAGTGTTCAGAGACTCTCTATATTGAAAAGCCCTAGAAAAACTGCAAAACTATTTTGTCAACCTCTGCAAGAAACCACAAAGCTTCCAAGAATGAGGAATAAGCATTCACAGGGTGCATCTGTTTATAAGCCTGGACCATAATAACCACACACCACCAAGAAGGGGAGGGTGTTTTTTTAACCACTGGAAGTCTACAGATTTTACTATGATCATTTAACTATTTTTTTTTTAATAAGGTGATTGAAAATGCCTTACAAATTAGCGCACAGTACACGTTAAGCTGATGAAATATCCCAATGGGAGAGCTTTCATGAGCTCTGTGAATCATTGTGATCCTTTGCATAATGCTGCCCGGGTCCCAAAGGTATTTTTGAGGCTGTTTCTTCAAGGGGTGCAAGGCAGAACGGGAGATGACTTGTGAATTTCAGTTTGTGTTTTTTCTTTGGATAAAAAAAATAAAATAAAAAAAAAAATGAAATCATGGAGGTGTTTTTGGCATACACTTTATATATATTCTCTGTATATATATCTGTTGTGCAAGGTGCCTAAATACAATATCTTGGCTTTGGCATAGGCCCTTTGGAGCTGTTCAGAACTGGTAGGCTTAGACCAATGATTCTCAACCAGGGTGCTGAGGTACCCTGGGGTGTCACAAGATCCTTTGAAGGGTGCCACGAGGTATGAGGAGATAAGTAACTGAGAGAGGAGATGAGCAGATAAGCCACGCTCAGGCTCGTCCCAGCTGGATGATCCCTCACTCCTTAACCAGGCCCTGTGTAAGAAGGTAACATATAAATTAGTTTTTGAAACTGGGTGTCACTCAGTTCACAAGGGGGGCTCAAGTCTGATGAGGGGCACCTCGAGTCAAGTGAAGGGTGCTTCACGTCCAAAAGGTTGAGAAGCACTGGCTCAGACTCCACCAATTGTCCCGGTGTTGGCAGTCCTAGGTCCTCAGACACTGTGATGGAAACTAGTGCAACAGCAGAGATAGAGGAGCAAAATTCAAGCACCCACAGCCTGTACTCGGCCAAAGCAGGGCAGAATTTCTCTGCTAGATAACAGCCCAGCTCCAGAGCTGCTGCAATGCCTGCACCTCCACTGAGACCAATTTACATCAGGTAAGGATCTGTCCCAGCGGGGGTAATTCCTCCTTGCTCTCACGGGTGGGATGTCAGTAGAGTTGTCTTGGGGTCAAAATGGTGTAAGTTCACCTCTGAAATCAAGCCCAAGCTCTTCAAGAAAATAAAGCTACAGCTGCAGTTGAATTTCCCCTTGTGTTCTCAGAAGTTGTCCCTTAGCCTGGCTTTACCCCCTGCTCGGAGGCATTTGGGGATGGAGAGTTGATGAAGCTGAAGCTTAAGGGGTCAGTGGTGGTTAACACAACCCCTCAATGATAACCCTGAGAGCTTAACTTGCAGCATAGTAAAATAAACATTGGACCCAGTTTTCTCAGCTCTCTCGAGTGAGACAGGACCTGACATGTTCTCCATAAACACTGATCCGGGAGTTTCACTTCCAGAAAATTAACTGTGTGTGAACACCCTGGCTAAAGCCTTCTGTTAACAAAAGAAGGAAATGAAAAGGCTGAAGTGTCCCTGGAGTATATTCACACCACTCCAGACACTGGTTATTTGGGCTGAGAATCACACTTGAAACCTTTTGCAGCAGAGGAAAGAGATGGATCTTAGAGTCGCAGGGAAATTTGGATCTAGCTCTTGGCAGCCTGGACTAGGAATTCAGTTCACATTGCTGGGCTGGCTCAGCACAGGGCCGGGATGCCCAGGCTTTGGGGCAAACGGTGCCTTAGAAAAGAAGAAGGGGGAAGGTTTTTGTTCTTTAGAGTTGAAATCTACCCATTTGCAGAGGGTTAATACCAGGCCAATGCAGTGCTTAAATGCAATTTTGAAGGCTCTAATGGGATTTAATAAAACCCTACATGCCATTAGAGGGGTATCACCCTTAGCTCCGGGACCTGTCCCAAGTTCCCTAATCTAGCGTATTAATGGTAACGGAAAAGAAAAACTGTTTGCATACCCTGCCTGTAATTTCAAGGAGATGCATCAATCCTTGCTTCACTTCTTAAAGAAAATCATATATTGTGCCAGGCACCTGCTGCAGCTCACTCTGGATGTAGGGGGCATTTTGGAAGCATGTTTCATTAAGCACTTGAGGATCTTCTGTGATGGTAGGTACATAGGTGCTGATGACTCTTCTGCAGACCCAGGTCTAGGTTTAATGGCTTTCAGTTTCTATAGGGATTTTCCTTAGATAGAGATCTCCCTTCTTGGCGTGCATAGCTGTTGGCTGACATTGGCCGCATCATTAAGGAGCTTTTTCTCCATCTTTAGCTACTTCTGCTTTGTGTGAAATGACTTGCGGTCTGGTGCATGATCACTACTGTTGTTTTATTTACAAATAAAAGACATTTAAATAATACAGAACATTCATGAATGTATTAGACCCTTATTAAATGCTCCTTATTCCTTTTGAGATGGCACACCAGCTGGGCCAGATGTTGGTATGGGAAATGTATGTCTGGGTCAAAGGCAGAGAGGCAAGTAACAGGCATCCCAAAGGAGCTGGTGCTGAGGTGATAGGGGTGCCATAGGTCGTTCTACTGAAGTCTACGATTACACCGATTTACCCCAGCAGAGGACTGGGCCCCTGAGATGGCAGTCTAGGGATATGGGAACACTTAGACTGATTTAAATGCAGTTTAAACCTGAAGTGGGTAGACATTCGAGCCTGTTAAGCTGGTTTAAAGCTACCTGGAATGGTTCAAAAGTGTACCCAGAACATCAAATGCTATTTTGAACTGGCTCCCCACAAACTGATTCAATGTCATAAGTGGACATTAAGCATGCCGTGACATAGGTCTAGTTGGTCCTTCAGACATTGCACTGCATTGCTCCTCCCCTATCCACCCCTTACTGCAGCAGCTGGCTGGTTTTGAATGCAGCTGGTATTCTCTTGCCCCCCTTTTCTCCCTTGTATTGGTATTTGTTCTCATCCCTTGTTCTGCTTGCTCAGTAAAAGTTATCTAGCAGCCAGCTGTGTCCTTGCTCCTCTCTCTGCCTCTCTCATTATGCCTATCCCAGACACTGGATCCAAGCACTCCCACCTCACTCCCTACTCCAGCCACCCAAAATCAGGTGAGTGCACTGCAGATTTTGGTTAACTGCAGGCTACTGAAGTTTACTGAATTCATGTTCAGGGAAGACGGGAAAGTAAAGAAGGCCAAAGCAGAGGTGTAAGCACTCTCCCTTCCCATAGCTACTGTGAGGAAAGCCAGTCTGGAGGGTTGCTCCTGCCCCTTGGTGTTGAAGCCGCTTTTTACACCCAGTCCGTGACGTTTGGAAACAGTTTGTTAAGTGTGGCGCACGTGGGATAAGCATGCTAACACTGGTTCAATTGAGGCAGTGTTAGCAACACTGCAGTATTTTCACCAACTTCTTTTCGTACAGAGGAACCTCCAGAACTGATGTCTGGGTTGGGGGAGGCTTGTTGATGTGCATTTTGCACCCTCAATATATTAAGGGAGTGCTTTGAGCTATCAGTGCCCGCCTTTCACTCACCTGGAACTCATTGTAGGAATAAATACCTCCACCCCTGCTCTCCCTGATATAAGCAAGCAGTGAGCCATCTGGAAAAGGTAAAGAGCCCCCTTGCACTCCTGGGTGGAAGGTAAAGGAGTTAGATCAGGGATCATCTCGCCTTAACTGGGACACTCAGATCAGCAGCTCCCTTGGCATGAGTCCCCAGCCGCGAATCCTGCACTTCCAGCGTGTTTACTTGTAGCAGGCATCAACATCACATGAGATGGCAGCTGACTTGTTTATCCGTCCTTTGCTCACCATGACGAAGGATCACATCTGACTATGGGTTGGATTGGGGGATTTCCTCGTCCATTTGGGAAGCTGCCAAAGGCATTCTTTCCTCCTTACACTGAGCAGTTTCAAGATCTGATCTGCCTTGTTGTTTGGCTTGTTTTTTATTTTTCTTCCAATAAGTGACAAGGAAAGAGTCCTTCAGAGGTGAGTGAACTCCCACTGGTTCAACTGCCAGGACCGAGGCAGCATCCTGGTCGATGTGGATGACATGCATTGATGCTGCCCTTTCCAGAGACGAATGCTTGTTCTGTTGGCTCCTGCGGTGCATATCCATTCATTGCTCTTTTATGGCCTGCGTGCCAAGATTAATAATACTTGGTTTGCTTCCCGTCATATATCAGATAAGTGAGCATTTATAGGAAGTGTCAGCTCAGGTTCGTGTGCAGGCCATTCAACCTGGCTCCCAGCAAAGTCAGTGAACAGGCCGGGAGTGGAGAGACCATAAACTGGCAGCTTGCTTGGAAGTCAAGCTTATTCCCCTTTATGAAACGAAAACTAATTGCTAGTTGCTGTTGAGGTGGGTGATGCAGAAGTGTATGAAAGGCAGTGATTGCAACTGTATTTTGTGTCTGGAATGGGTACTTTAGACTGGAATTGGTTTTTCAGGAGTTTATTCTGGGTGGGATTTAAAAGGAAAAAACCCCCAATAACTAAGCCCCTTTAAATATTTTGATCAAACCTTGAAATATCACAAGTCAAATTTCTGTGCCGGTGTTTCAACAGCTGCAGGAGGGGTGCCTAATGCATCTGTTCTGCTCTCTGGGCCTGGCTTTCTGGCTCTATTTCTACATCTGCCATAATGGACTGTGTTTAGAAGCTCTTGGCACAGGCCTCTTCACTACAGGGGCATGTTTGGATTGAGAACTCAGCACACAGAACTCAGCATTAAGCAATGGGAGCTTAATGCACCAAGTACACCCCTGAAAAATGGGAGCTTAATGCATCTCACCTCAACTAAAACTCTGCTCTGGTGCTACTTTGAGTTGAATTTATTTTAGCTTGTGATATTTGCTAAAAAAAAAAAAGGTCCAAGTTTTCTGTGGAAACCCCCTATTTTCTGTTCAGCTGCACTCTACACACCATTTCCCAATCCTCCGAGCTAGTCAGCCCCCACTACAACATGCCCTTGTGCTGCCCGGCATTTATAGGACCTGGTCATGCTATTCCTCAGTGATGTAGAGCGCATGCTGGATGGCAGGGTTATCTGCGAAGTTCTTCTCGGCACTGGAGGGTGACATACAGACAACGCTGGACAGTTTCCAATCAATATTAGATACTGATTCATCAATATGTGCTAAAAATACATAAAGGGGAATGGATTGTACTTTCCCTTGAGGAGCAGCCAGGGGACAGAAAAGCATAATCTGGGAGGTTAACAGTAACAGAGCTAAGGAAACTAGTCCCACTTTGCTGGACTCTGCTGAAAGCTGGATTCAGGAGAAGACCCAGAAAAACAGCCTTAGACAAACTAACTTGGGTAATGAAAGAAGTATAGCTGCCTCAGCATGACATATTACCATACAGCCAGCTTCTCAGCAGGGCTAGCTGAGCTAATACAGCTATAGTGCTTCTGGCACCCAGGCTAGCTTGGGGATCCCTGCATTATGCTAGGATCATAGGAAAGGAGGGCTGGAAGGGATCTCATAAAGTCATCTAATCCAGTCCCTTGCTCAAGGCAGGAGTATCCCTGACCAAACCATCTTGGCCAGGTGTTTGTCTAACCTGCGCTTGAAAATTTCCAGCCATGGAGATTCCACAGCTTGCTAGGTAGCCCACTGCAATGCTTAGCTGGCGTCATAGTCAAAACCTTCTTCCCAGTCATTGATCTAAATGTCCTCTGCTGCACTTTAAGGCCATTGATCCTAGTCCTGTTTCCTACAGCCACAGAAAAAAATCTATCTCCATCCTCTTTATAACTGCCCTTCAGGTATTTGAAGACTGTCATGCCATATAGACATACCTTAAGAGCTAAATCCTATTTCACCATCACATTTCCAAATGGTACTTGCATAGTCACATAACAGCAATTTTTGGCACGTATGCATAGTTTGGAAATAAAAGGTGGGGTGGGCGGGTAGTGGAGGGGGAAGCCCCTTCCTGGGCCAGTGCTGTAACCATTAGGCCATTGGGTTAAAAGGTGGGAGGGCCCCTTTCTTCCTTTAGCAACAAACACCTGGTACTTGTGGTTTTCCTGTACGTGGCTTCATATGCCTTCGGGGATTGGACTAGATGACCTCTGGAGGTCCCTTCCAGCCCTACTTCTTTATGACTTTATACAAGTTTCCACATAATTCTGTTTTTGATTGTCTCCTGATGCTTTTGGGGAGGGGGGACAGTGTGCATTTCTTTGCAGATAGCACAGACAGCGGGAGCAGAGGAGAGCTGCTCTCCCCCATGCAGGCTCTAGCAGAAAGCAGGACTTTCTGGAGCAGCAGCACCAGCCATTGGTATTGTGCTGCCAGTGTGAAGGAGAGCTGATGTCTTGTTAATCCTGTGTGCTCCGGCTGAACTTCACTGGAGGCCCAAGGTTTAAGCTGGTGAGTTGTACTTGAGAGTGTCTTTGATTCAATTGATGTCTTAGTTCATTGGTCCCTGCCTTCGACAATTCAATTATTGATACCCTGTTCTGCTGTTAACCTCATTCATATGTTGCCTCTTCTGTAAATAATAAGTCATGTAAATAGTTGGACTGTATGCCCTCCAGTGTGTGGGGGGAACCAGGAGAAAGCACCCATGGAGAGGTGGCCCCAGCCTTAGGGGCCGGGAGGTTGACCGAGCTATTTGACACCCCAGGACCCTGAATCTGGACGTGGCTGCTGGTAGCACTGTGGCTAGGGTCACACTAGTGATCTCCTTCATGAACCTTTTGAGGATGAAAAATGCTGTATAAGAGGCCTTTTGTTTGATCAGAACTGGACCTTGCCAGCAACTGATATAAAAGGAGCCACTTGGAGCACACAACTGGAAGTTTTGTTGGTGCTACAAAATGGAAGAGTTAGGTTACGTATGCTGGAGTGGCACATACAATACCTGTCCTCTATTTAAGTACAGACAGCTGTCTCCTGTAACAGTGCCAAACACCTCCGGATGACTGCTCAATACCCTTTCTTCTCACCCCATCACCTTAGTTACACTGCTGAGGTCCAGAGCCAGCTCTGGGATCTACTGGGATGTCTTTAGCTTTCTCCTGTGAATGTGTCACAATGCCTAGTTCCATAATATCGGGTGCAGAGATACAATCAGAATCTAATATTTCAAATGAAGGCCCCTGGCTGATCCCTTAATAAGCCTGTGATTCAATATGTGGTATTAAATGATGGTGATTATTAAAATATATTTTTTCAGAGATGTAATGACTATATAGACACTGATATATTATCTTTATTAATCGTGTTTATTATAGCAAGGTCTTGTCTATTATACATTTTTACTTGATTGTTTTTATAATGTGCTTGGAAATGCATTTCTCTGAAAGGTGTTATATAAAGCCTACCATTATTATGAATGCTCATTAAGTAGGCTTTTTTGCATAATCAACTCATATTTAAATACTCTAAATAATAATGTCATTAAGGACCCTTCCCTACATTCTTGATGTTCCATGACTAGGTTCTGGATAAAAATGGTGGAAATGTTTCTTGCTTTTTGCTATTCTCTTTTCCCAGTTTAGCTGGGGCAAGAATTGATCTGTTTGCTTTGCTCAGCTGTGTGTGAAGTCCCCCCTATTGGAGGGGCTGGCTTCTTATCTGCATCTCTACCATACTGGGTCACTTTGAGCACATGTGCTCACGTCTTAACAAATGTCTTAGCTAATTATCCACCTGCTCTTGTTTCTCTGTGTAATACCAGGAAGGGGGCGGGGGCGGTGATTCATGAGCATTTAGTTTTAGGATATAATTGAGTAACAGAAGCAAGTCCTAAGGGGGCATATCTACACACATGCTTTAATAGTCTATTCGACTGCGCATTAGAGGTACTAAATTTAATGTGCAGTAGCAAAAGTGCATTAAGGAACATGTAGGCGTGCCCAGTGAGACATAAATGACTCTTAGAAGACAAGAACATAGGAGGCACTGTAATAGTTCATCAGACCAAGGACCCATCTAATCCAATGTCCTTTCTCTAACTGCGGTCGATACCAGCATCAGAGGAAGATGATGCACGAGCTATTCTGTCCTAGAAATGGTTAAATCCTGTTTTCACTGCACAAGGCTAAATGGCATGTATGCGGCCATGTCACTTTGTTCTGGGCCATTTAGGCAGATAAAGTGAAATAGGATTTAGCCTTGAATGTTTGGCTTGCGCCCTGTAGCCAGATGGTTCATATTGTTCATAATGTTTTATCCAGTCCACTGTAAGTGCTGATGTTTTCATTGCTCACATGAATCCTTTTTTGCATTCCGCTGAGCACTTGTGGCTGGGACTGCCTCCAACCAGAGGAAACTGTTTAGGGAGTGAAAGTAACTGCAGGATCTCTGCTGCCCCCCAAAGCCTGGATCCTAATTCCCTGAATGCAAAGAGCAACTCATTTGCATCCCTTGGCAAATAGCCTGGTTGTGGGCATTAGAGAGGAGTTTCCCACATCTGCCAATAGGTGACTCAATGAGATCTGGGTAGAAAAATAAGTGCAGAAAATACACAAGTGTGAAAAGCAGGTATGGCTAAGTATAGTTGAACCCTGATGCTGCCGTAAACAATGCATCAGAGTTCCCTGCACCCGGGGCTGGGTTTTTCCTGGTGGCAGCTCTAGCAGATTAGATTGCAGGATTGTGACCAAATTTAAATTTTGGTACAACTACCTTGAAACCAGGAGACCAGGTGATGGTGTTAATACTGCTTAAGAATGAATGCATTTACCAATATCCTGAGAACCTGTTACCTCCATATTGAGCTCCTGCTAAAAAATGTAGCCTCTTATTTAAGTGCCTGATACAATGCCTACTATAATCCGTGGAAACCTATCCAAACAACACATGCTGGAATGTGCTAATTGTTGCCATTACCAGTATCTTTTGAACCATGGGCTACTGGTGCTTTTTGAGTCAGGGGTCCCCCTGTGGCCGATGGCACTTGCCAAAAAGCAGCCGTGCTGCTTATGGAAGTCCCACGGCCACTTTTGCTGGTGGCCCCACTCCCCAACCAGTGCTCGCAGGGTGGGCACCGGCACTCCCGCCTGCTCGTCGCCTAAACAGGGAGCGAGGCCTGACAGGGGGTGTACCAGTGCTCTCAGTGGGCGCATGTGCACCCCCTACACATTGCCAGTGCTTTGCACCCAGAAGATCACAGAATCACAGACCCTGGTGAAATGTTGGGTATTCTAACCACTAACTACTTTCTTTCAGTCTAAATGGAAGGATGTATTCAAGTTTCCCATTATGCAGTGAGAGCTGGAAACAGTAGGAAACCATGCAGCACGAGCTGCATCAGCCCAGCAGTGCCGGGCAGGGGAGGCCACACTGGAGGCAGGTCTGTGCTGACCCTGGCTCCTGCCTGTCGTTCCTGGGATTTTGCCATTCCTCCAGCACAAAAAGGGGATGAGGTCAAGCTGGGCTCTGTGTTCCCAACCCCGGTCACTGCCCGCATGTGCCCTGACCCCACAGGGCAGTGATGTGATCAGGGAGGGGCTGAGGATCCGGCCCCAGGGGCCCCTGTTTGACCAGGGCTGTCCCTGTGCCTGGTCCACACGGGGAACGACGGAGAACGCGGCCAAAGAGTTCAGGGTCCAAGGTCATCTCGGGCTGGGAAGACCCCCGGGCCAGGCCAGAGCAAAGGCACCCACAGCCCCAGCACTCAGCACCTTGCCCGTGGGGGGCGGGGGGAGACCCCTGGTTGCCGTGGCCACACAATGCTCCTGCCCAGTGACATCACAATCCCCAGCTTCCCCGTCAGTTACCGGCTCCTGCCAGTGCTCTCGTGACCCCCCCAGAGCCAGTTGCCCCTCGTCCTCGCTCCTCGTCCTCGTCTTTCCTGTTCCCCAGATTTGGCTGTTCACTGCTCGTTAGTTCACTAGATCGTAAGTGTGTTAGTTTAGACTGTTAGTTTAGTTCATTAGTTTGTTAGTTTAGTATATTAGTTTAGTTCGATAGTTTAGTTCATAAGTTTAGTTTGCTAGTTAGTTACCTAATTAATTAGTTAGTTTCTTAGATAGTTTGTTGATTAGTTAGTTTCTTAGGTAGTGTATCAATTAGTTAGTTCGTTAGTAGTTTAGGTAGCAGTAGGGTAGGTAGTAGTTGGGAGGAGTTGGAGCAGCGGGAGCGTGCGCTGGCTGGAGCCGTGAGTGCCCTTTCTCGCTCAGCCGTGGGGGCAGCGCTGGGG